GTTCAGAACTAGCGAACTCCCGGTTGATCAATTGAGGATTGATCTGTGTTTTGCAGTTTTGCTGCTTGTTAGTTCCCAAATTGGTATGCAATGCCTATGTTGTATTGGGGTCTGGAGGTGGGTATTTGTTTTGAGCTGTTACAAGCCTACAGCTAAACCAGAAAAATTGATGCCCTGCATCAGTGCAACGATCAAAGCATGATCAATGTTGAGATAGGTATGGTTTTTTAATTTGCATTACTAAGGGCCTGTTTGGTTGCCTGCATAACCCCTTATCCAGGCCCCCCCAGAGTGCAGATTCGTGCATAGGGCTAAGGCTAGCACTTATCCTCAAAGCAAGCCCAGTCTGCATCCTACTATTCGGCCAAATCCTGCGTATCCAGCTATGAACCCTTGCTCCTGCACCCGCATTGCAGCCCAAGACACAGTCTAGCCACTTGCACAGGAAATCAATCACATGCATAACATTGTACAATTTCCTATCCAGGCAAACCAAACAACATCAAATTGCATTGCCTTGTCCAGGTTAAGGGTACGCTACATAACCCCTAATGCAATGCAAAACTAATGCGACTAACCGCCCGTAAATGTCATTGTAGAATGCCAGTTGCACGGATACGGATGAATCGGTATCCCTTGCGGATATCCTGCAATTTTCTAAGAAACCCACTGCAGCCCAAGTTTACTATTTAAAAATAAATAAAAAAGCCACAGGTCGGCGACCATTGTCTTAGGAAATCCACGGCCCATCAAGCATAACATTGTACAATTTCCTATCCAGGCAAACCTGTCCAACAACAAACCATCGATTGCCACCCATTGCTCGATTCGGCTGTCCAGGTTAAAGCTTCCGCTCCCGCTTCCCCATAACCCCTAATGCTTTGCAAAACTAATGCAACCTAACTTGGATCCTTTCAGACCGCGATTGAAGCTCTACTTGGAAATGCCTTGCGTCGTTCGCAGCTTCGAATGCTATGCAGCCATTTAGCAAACATGCATGGCGGACCTCAAAACGGAGGTCGAATATGGTCCAATGGACCAAATACATGCATTTAGTAAACATGCTATGCAGATGGCGGCAAGGCAGGAAAAGTTTGATTGAGGAAGAATCTGGAAGCTACCACTAAAAAAAAAAAGATTAGGATGTTTATCGTATCCGCGTTTGCACATAACAGCTATGGTAACATAGATGTATGCAGCCAAGAAATATTGGTACTACTAAGAGGGGTGGACCAAAAAATAGTAAACAATTTGCCAGGCCAAGGGCAGGAAAAGTTTGATTGAGGAAGAATCTGGAAGCTACCACTACCAAATAAAGTTGATGATGAATGAGGATTTAGAAGAGGGTGAAAAAATGAAACAATTATTTTTAAGTTCATCATGCCATGGGGCTAAGGAAGTATGGCGATTGCTAGATTTGGAGCAGCTCAGGAAGACACTAGGAGAATGTAAATCGGGCAAGAAAATAATCAAGGAGATTTGGAAGCTGGATGAGACTATACAACAGAAAGTTTGAGTGCTGCTATGGAGATGGTGGTCAGCCAGGAATAAATTGAATGAGAGTGAAAAAAGATTGTCGGCTCCAGAAATTTGCTCACTCATAACCTTTTATATTAATGAGTTCGAGAAACTGAAGAAAAAACAGGGAACAAAAATGCCAAGGAGGGCGCTGAAATGGGAACCACCACAGCCTGGATTTTACAAGATCAATATTGATGCTTCATACTGGGTGAAAACAGGAGCAGGTGGATGGGGTTTTGTAGCTAGAGACAGCACTGGGGATTTTCTAGAGGGGGTTGTGGCCACCTGGAGCATGTTACAAGTCCAATACAGGCTGAAGCGCTTGCTGCTCTAAAAAGTCTTCAGAGCACAATTGGGAATGACCAGAATTGTTCTTGACACTGATGCGACAAATTTGGAGAAAGCACTGAATTATGATGAGTTGGACATGAGCACTGAGGGTGGTATCTTTCGCCAAATCAGGGAGGTCATGAATCAACCCTTTGTCCAGTGCGTGGTCCAAGCATGTCCGCGATCATGCAACAAAGTGACTGATAGCCTTGCAGCTCATGGGGCGAGCGCATTGTACGCTCGGGTTCAGAGGTCTTCATGAACCAAGTCCCCGAATTTGTAATCAATCTGGTCTCTGGGGATCTCCCTAGAGCCACTGGTTAGTGGAAACTCTGCTTTCCTAATAAAAAAAATGGTCTGGGCCATCATTGTGTTGAATAATTTGCTGCTGGTCTTGCACAGAAGTCTGCAACTGCAGACCAATTTCCTTGCTACTGCAGTGCAATTTCCTTGCAACTGCAGAGCAACTTCCTATCAAGTTCCTAGAACTGTAGAGTAGACTAGACTTGACTGCTACCTTCACTAGTTACCCTGTGTGTGTGTGTGTGTGTGTGTGTGTGTATGCAACTATGGAAATGTAATATTTAGTTACCTTCACTAGGCCATTGGGGCAGGAGAGGTGGCGACGTTAGGGTGTCGGAGAGAACGTAAAACAGGGCGGAGTATTTGCGTCCGAGCGCGCGGCGGCGGCGGCGCGGGGACGGGGGTAGCCGAATACTGCTGGATTAGGGACGAGCCCAATGGTGGCCGCCCGGGTCCAGCTCCGCACCACCGGCCGCCTCAGCTTCTGCTCCTTCCCCAGCGCACCAGGGACACAGCCAGCAGGCGGCGATTCGGGGCGTGAGGGCGTCCGCGGAGGAGAAAATTACCATCGCAAATCTTTGCTTTCGTAAAGTAGCAGCCAAAACATTTGCTTCGTGTTTTCTTTACCATTTTTCTACTTTTTCTATTTTTTATTTTATTTTATCTAAATCAACCACTTCGTCGCATTTGCCACATGTAAACTTGTGATAGCATGGTACTTAGTCTATTTTTTTTTTAATTCTGAGAGTATAGCAGAAACATTTGCCACGTATAGTATAAACGATTAGGAGCATGGTACTTGTCCGGATTACAAGAGCATTTAAAGCAAAGCATGCAGGTGTGGCATGCACCCAATGTACTTGAACCAAGTAGGAATATACGATCTGTTCGATTTGCTGAAAAGCTATAATTGAAAGTATTGTTCGCTGATTTGTTATGAGAAAAAAAAACAACGAACGGGCCCTAGTTTAAAAATGCAAGCACAGGGCGTGAGCGGCTTATCTGCTGACTTTGCTTATTGGCAAAGTAGATAATTTGGGTGTTCAGTGTTGCATAGGAGTCCAACATGTGAAAACCAATTGTGCGATGCTCAGCTTTGCGAGAGCCTCGGGAGGTAAATCCGAAAGCCTTTCATTCCAGAACGAAAACGCCCCCGAGCTATGGCTAAAGATAGAAAAGCTCATGGCCTTCGCTGGACTGTTGTTGGCTAACGATAGAAGCTGATAGCATTTGCTGAAGATCAGATCGTGAAGCCTTGGCATATGCTTGTGTGTAGAGAAAATCGAATAGCCTTTTGGATGTCAATTGCACATTTCATCGAGCTAACGAGATCCGATTACATCTAGTGCTGAATTTGACTCTGAGAGCATATGATGATTTTTGCTTCGAATTAATTCAGAAATCCTGAGGTTCCAGATTTGCAAGTTCCGATGGCTTGATACTAGTGAATGGATGTCGAGTCAAACGACTTCGAAATATGATGGCTAGCAAGCCAGGACACCGACGGTCGGTAGAACTTGTTCAAACATGGCTGGGCATCTACAGGCTCCAGCAAACGTCTGGCAAAGATCAAATAGTGTGCATGGAACACAAACTAGGAGCTAATCTGACCAGTTAGGCCGCCTTTGAAACTCAAGATTTTTTTTTCTGCTCCAAAGGGACCCTTAACCGAAAACAGTACAACGTCTCGAATTAACGATACAAACAACATGGCGAACTGCAGCCTTCTTGATGGGAGGACCACCAACCCGCGACAATACACCGGCACAGTTTCCGCCGCCTTACAACAAGAATGATCTGCACACGCTAAATCTTCTTCCACAGCTCGTCGCATATCTCAACTGGTGGCGTCGTGTTCTCAAACTCAAAATTCTCTATCTTCCTCCTGTTCTGGTCAATAATTTCTGATCATAGCTAAGGACTTCCATACAGCCATAGCTTTTGTATGAAAAGATGATATTGAGTGCAAACACAACCACTAAGCAGTACAGAATATGTACTTATTTTTGAAAGTTTACAGATTTTTTTTTCTATAAATAGGGGAAACGGTAACAGATTGAAAGGATACTTCCTGAAACCTTATCCTGGTCTTCCAAATTTGGGACGATATTTGTAACTGACATGCACATGGAAAGCATACGTCTGCACGAGAAGTACAGTCAGTCGCTTCTTTCAACTCAGAAATAGAGTAAGCAATAGAGACAATACTGCTAAGGCATAAAACTCACTTAATACTGAATTAGTAGGCCCGGTTTAAATTTGTTTGAACAAATACTGTTCCAGTGTTTTTTATCAATGTTTGCAACATTGTTACCGGAATCACCAAAATCAAGGAAAGCTAGTGGAATCACAATGTACAAAGGGGAGGAAAGATGAGGCAGGGCAGGATAGTAGCGCAGTTCACTTCTTATTTGGAATGCTGTGGGGGCGGTCTTAACCCCTTCAGGTCGAGTTCTTTTTAGTAGCGCAGTTCAGCAAGTGGACTTTTCGAAAATTCAAGCAGCAGAGAACTAGTATTTAGTATTGTTTATTGTATCTAGCTCTTCTAGGATGGATTTTTCAAATAATTTCAGCATCCAGAGAGTTATCAAACAGACTACACGTATGAAAGCTAAATGCCTGATGTTTCATCAGTAACATTGTGAGAAATTCTCAACTTACTTTGCTTTCTGCGTGTCTTTCTTTTTCTTCTTGACAGCGTCCATTCTTTCTTTTATAGAAACTCTTTGGTGGTCTAGGTCATCAAGCTCATCATGTACCACTGTGTTGATAGGATAATGCACATAAGAACATCAAATTCTTAAAAGATGCAATTTTCAGAAGAATACAAATTCTGAAGCAAGAACTTATCTTAACTCTTCGCGAAGCTGCTTCTCTTCCTGCAGTTTTTCTTCCATCTTGCTTTGCAGTGCATTAAGTTCATCGTCAGCAATGGTTTCCACTTTTGCTTTGTCAATCTTTTCTTTGCAGGAGTCTATTTTTTCCTGATACTCTGTTATGCAAAAGGAACAAGGCATTAAGATGGCAATAAGGTCCTATCTCTTGAGTTCATTGTCCCACAGCAGGTTTCAGGTTCCACCAAACAGTTTCTCATTAATTCTCTCCCTATTGGTTTTGTAATCTGAGGCCCTAATTCTGTTTCGATAAAGATATATGCAGCAAAGATTTGAATAAATGTGTGCCTCTATCACCACAAACAAAACAGGATACACTACCATGAATTTTTATGCTAGTATATTCACGAATGCATCGAATTTAGAGAACAATGCACACATTAAGCTTGGCAATGTTCAAAAGATGGTAGCGGGTTGTTGAAGAAGGGAAACTGCTACAGGTGCTGTGGACTGGAAGTAGAACATCTTCGATAAATTCTTGACAGACTACCCTCTGTCAATTGTAAGCTTCCCAAGTAATTGATCACCAAGACTGACAAATCTAGAGCTGGATTTCTAACAGTTTGGAAACATCCAGAACAGGTTAGCTGGCTATTGGAAAAGGAACACACTACGGTGCTTGGTATGGGAGAAGAAAATCTTCGACACTACAGATATAAGTAAACTTCCCAAGTGAATAATCACTGAGAAAGGTATACCTGGAGCTGAATCTTTAGTTACATTTGCAGGTTTGGACAGGGTTCTAGTTTCTAACTTGTTTTTACTCGCGAAAACCACATATGCAAATGAAAGGATTTCACCAGTGGGTCAATGATGAAATTTTTTTTTGGGAGCAGAATCAGTGATGAAATTTCATCGATGATTTGAATGATGAAACTGATGGTATGCCTTGTTTCCTTTGCAGAGCTAATGCCCTTTCATGTAAGATTCAAGTAATTCAACCTAAATAAATTACTGAAATTAGTAGTGAGATTGGCTGAAATCCACCAATCTAAACCAGAAAGACGCCTATATCAACCGAGGAGAAACACCGAAAACGTCGAAACAGAGCGAAATGAATCCCAGTAGGACAGGGGACAAGCGGACCTTTGATCTGCAGCTCGAGGTCGTCATACTCGGATCGGCAGGCGGACACCAGCCTCCGCGCTCCGGCGCCGACCTGCGCGTTGCCGTCGCGGTCGGTGCTGACGCGGAAGACGCCCAGGAGATCGTCGGCGTAGGAGAGGAGTCTTTCCACCTCCTGGCTCTCGCCCGCGCCCGCCGCCATCAGACTGGTCTGCGCCGGCACCGACGGGAACCCTAGCTCCCTAGTCCCCACCTCTCCCGCCTGCGCGCCCGGTGCCGGTGAAGAGAGACGCGGGTCCGTCTCGTAGGTTAGGGAGTGGGGATGTACGGCCGGCGGCCACGACAACGGCTACTGCCCTTGCTTTGCCGCCGGCACGTCGCCGCGGTCACTGGGGGATGCGAGCTCAGGAACCGTGTGTTTGGTTTCCGCGATGAACGGGGATGGGATGGGAATGGGACGGCTCCTATTGTGACGGTGTTTGGGCCCACTCAGACCTGCTCATAACGGATGGAGGGAACGGCAACGGCATCCATCCCAAAATTTCGAATGGGGATGGCTCGCGCAGTTCTGCTCGACTTCCTCGCCTAGTCGCCTCTGCCTCTTGGAGAAGGTGGTTGGGCTCATCAAAATTGGGCTTCGTCTCGATGCCTAAACTTAGCCCACTCTGTAAACTGGCCTGTTTCTTTTCTTTTTCTTTTTTTTTGCGAAACGTAAACTGGCCTGTTTGAACTAGAAGAAGCATCTCTGCATCTCTCTCGAAAACGACAAGGGACCGTGTAATTCAGCACCGGGTACGTCATTCTATCTCGAGCGAGTCACGGGCAGATTTGCAGGCGGAAAACAACAAACGTCAAGTTCAGCGTTGGATACGTCTCGATGAACAGAAGCGCTTGTGTTGCCTACTCCTACTTGCGTGCGCTTGCGTTCCATGTCCAATGCAGATAGATGTGCATGTGCATCTCTCATGGAATTTGTTTGCCATCAGAATTTCTATTCTCGTACGTGACACCGTATTTCATGGCAGCCTCGAAAGCAAGCAGCTAAAAATGGACGAAATATTCTTTCAAGAAAAATGGACGAAATATCCAATCAGGCGTGACGAACATCAGACAAGTACTACTGTCAGTGAAGTATTATCTCGTCCATATTCTCATTTGATTGGCACATCACACAAGAACTCAAGAGCACACTTTGATTATTTGCCTACAATTGCAAGGACACCGTCACCAATGGCCTCCGCCCTTGATTATTACTGGAGGGATCTGACGATGAGCATCGCCACCACGGTGAGGTTGTCGGCGTCCGCGTTCACCTTCCGCAGCGGCGACTTGCCGTTCCCGCCGGCGCTGCCGAACGCGTCCTCGCAGTCGGTCGCCGCCTTCCGGACGACCCCCATGTCGGACACGTAGTCCCGGAGCTTCCCCGTGGCCAGCGCGTGGACGGCGCTGTGCACGACGTTGAGCGCCTCGATGTACCGCTGGCGGCACGTGGCCAGCGCGCGCCGCGACCGCTCGGACCAGCCCCCGCGCCGCTCCAGCGCCTTGATGGTGGCCACGGCGGCCGTGTAGTTGGCCAGCGTCAGGTTGGTGGCGATGGCGGCCAGGCCGCGCGCGTCGGCGCCCTCGCTGCCGGGCGCCGCCTGGAGCGACGACACGCAGAAGGGCGCCAGCTGCTCCTTGCGCCGCGCGCCCGACGTGGCCTTGGCGCAGGTCTGCTCCACGGTCTTGGAGGCCAGCGCCGCGCGGGAGCCGGCCAGGACAACGAAGAGCAGCAGGAGGAGGGGAACGGAGACGGAGACAAGCCTCGCCGCCATCGTTGCTTGCTGGGAGGGTGCGTGTGCTGCACTGCTGCTACTGCTAGTGCCAGGTTGGTGTGTTGTTGCCGCTTTGCCTGCTAACTTTGGATGAGTTTTTGTAGCCATGTTGGGATGTTGAAATCTTGGGCAGAGGATTCTCTTTCATTTATTGGTGATGATAGGCTAACCGGAGATTGCTGGGCGGCGGCAGTGAATGCTCTGTGTGTCCTAGTCTCCTACGCTCCTGTAGCCTATAGCTATAAATTATACTCGCTCGATCTCAAAATAAGTGTTATTCCTGTTTTCCAATAAATAAAATAATTTTAATTTTAATTAAATATATAAAAAAATATTAATATCTACAGTACATAATTAATATCATTAAACATATCATTGAATCTAATTTTGTGATAAATATATTTGAAGATATAAATGTTAATAGCATAATTGGCCCAACATAAATAAATAATCCTATTTGATGCTCCTAAAACTACACCTTGTTTCATACCATCTTCTTGTCATTAGTTGCATGTCCCTTGTCCCTATATTTTACACTGCTACAAATACAGTTGGTAAAGTAGAGTAACTAAAGTAGTTGTTTATCGTGCATCCATCTGCATAGCTCTTGTTCTTTGTTATTGTATTTTTGGCAAGACCTCAAATACTTGAATTTGAATCAAAATTCTTTAAGAATCATTTCAATCTGACTAGAGTTAACATGTTCTGCAGATGTGTGGATGAACTTAAGAGCCAACTCTTCAAACATGGAAGCCTTAAAAAACTCTACTTAAAAAACTCTACTTTTATCATCAGCATCTTACCACGGTAAGTTTATACTGCTTTGTGATTCTCATAGTCCTTTAAATTTTTTTCTAAGTACCTAGACTTTTATGCTGATAATAAGTCATTTTTCCTGGGACCCACAGATCTTCAGAAATACAATGTTCGGCCTGAAAGGTTGTCCACAGCATTGTTGTACTTCACTTGGAGTTGCTTCCAGTTTTCCAGAATGTGCCTCTGCAATTATTCCTGAACAAGTGTATATTTGAATTCACTATATGATTTCAGTTTCAGCATTATTTTGATGCTTACAGCATCCTCAAGAAGTTCTTTGCAACACGGCGCTTTGAGGATTAGTAAAATATTATAAGGCTGACACATATACTATTAATTTATGCTTGGCAAGATGGACATTTGCTATGCTTGATCTGTCGAGCAAGAAGCAAGCCAGCTGCCTATGACTTGGGATGTGAAGCCTCTGAACTGCCACTGACATAATAATCCTATATGCTCCCACAGTCCAACTCTTATTATGACATAACAATATGTCCTCAGTCTGTTACTCAGTTTCTTCCTCTATAGGGTTGCATTTCTCTTCGTGTTTGGCATATTAATTAGTGAATCTTTCTTTGTTTCAAATGTAGGTTAACAAAATTGGCAGAGATTCTATCTCTTATGTGGAGTCCCTTATTGCGTCTATCATGGGTGGATAAGAAGGTTTGATAAGTTTTCCAGATTCTGAAGGTGGATTTAGCTCATTAGAGATGCGGGTAGATACTTTCTGTGATGATCTCTGTTTCATACGAAGGGCGGGTCTGGTGCAAGCAGTAGAGTCTCGCCGCCTGTGACCGGAAGGTCCCGGGTTCGAGTCGCGGTCTCCTCGCATTGCACAGACGATGGTAAGGCTTGCCACTGACACCATTCTCTAGACCTTGTACAGAGCGGGAGCTCTCTGCACTGGTACGTCCTTTAATCTCTGTTTCATATGTTGAATATGTCAATTACAGTAGAATTGCACCATTGATCCTTAATATTTTTTGTACACTTATTTGCGCGCATTTCCACTCATTACAATATTGATTCTTCATCTGTGGTTCACCCCTCCAGCGCTAAATGCATTTCATTCCTACTGATATGCATTGATATGCAAGTCGTATGTTTAGTGAACGGCCCTCAAGGTGTTCAATAAAATGTCTACATGGATGCATTAGGTGTCACCATAAAAAACCCAAGCACTGCACTGCACTTTGCTGTGGTATTTATGACAATATAAGTGAGTCAATGCCAATAGTGTTTGTGCATAATAAATAGTGCCCTCCATACAGATGGAGAAAAGCTAGCCAAACAAAATGGAGTACGAGGGCTGCTGCCATCTCCATGACCTGAAAATTGTTCCATGAAGTGATATAATTTAATAAATTGTTAGAAATTGGGATTTCAGCTAAAACCAATCCATTTGGTACGTACTTTAGAAAGAAAATGTAGCTTTTCCATGGTTTAGTGGACAAATTTGACTAAATAATCAACCTAATTATAAGGCCTGGTGATGCTTGGAGCCTAAGATGCTGCTTGGCTGGTTTGTGTGAGAGAAAAATAGTTCAATTTACGATCAATGACGAGTGGCCTGGCCTACCAGCTCGGCAATGCGATAGTGTATGCCCAACAGGAGGGATGCCTGGCTGCCTGCAAGACTACAAGTGTAATCCCTTGAGCGTCCCTTTCTTATTTCCTTTGTTTGATATTACTGTCTCTATTATTATTTATATGCGATTAAGCTACAATCTGTTCATGGTTGTACATTTCCAAATGTGGTGTCAACTCAGTCCTTTAATTGACTAGGTAGCGTGTCCGTGCATTGCTACGTGATAACTAAATTTTTATACTAAAAACACACGAATCGCACGATAAAATAACAATACTACAAAATTAAATACCAACATGAAAGTAACATTTAATAAAAAAAACAAAGTTCATGAAATTAACATAATCACGGAGAGCGCGGAGTCGCAGGCTCACCAACTCTACTGTATAGACCTTTCCGTGCGTTGCAACGGGAACAAATAATGCCCTGATAATTCGAGCATGAATGTTTTGTATTGTTACAAAAAAACGATAATGTGAGCGTAATGTTCGGAATATCAATATTACAAATTAAATTTTGTGCATGGCTAAAATTCTCATTGACGGTTTGCAATTATCAAGGTATACATTTATAGTATCGTGCATTTGTGCATACACACATAAAAGTTCATATCACCATAACAAGATTAATTGATTCCTCAATCAATTTCCCTAGATCTAGGTGACCACGGAAGCACCTTCTGCTATCATAAATCCGTAATTACGCGAGAGATGTGGCCATGGCGGTGGTGCTGAAGACATTTGTTTCATCAAAGCCATGGAATGCTCCGCTGCAATAGTTGCATCTTAGGTTGTATAAAAGAGCCGCAGACACCTCAAATTCATCGAACTGTGTCATGATCTCTACAGTTGAATTGGCAAGCACTGAAATAATGTCATGGGAAGCAGGATCAGCGAATACATGAATACGGTTTGAGGCGCAAGTGATGCAAGATTTAGATGTTTTTATTGAGCCAACTTACAAAGGGGATCATATGTTGGACAT